GGGAATATAACAGAAATAATGCTGGAATATTACTAAGATATCACAGTAATATTAAAATGTCCGCGGCAAATGCATCACAGTAATATAATGGTGAAAATCACAATGATATTATTGTGAGAAAATCATAATATTTAAAGAAATATACTTATATATTCCTAGTTTTCTCATGTTTCATAAACTACTACGTATCGACCCAGCAAACACAATGTTACATGTAACGTACATGTTAGTTATAATTTCCTACTCAACAATATAACTGTTACATAACACGCATGTTATATAACAGTTATATTGTTGAGTAGGAAATTACAACTAACATGTATGTTACATGTAACATTGTGTTTGCTGGGGAAGGTTGTCAAATACACTCCAAACTTTCGTGAAATCCTCCAGCGATAATTTCGATCCCAAGCAGTATACCACTAGTCACCCATCCATGTCCTGACCGCATTAAACTGTTGCTTCTTGACCTGACGATCGAGCGCGCACGCAGTGACTCTGATGACTCCAACGATGTTCTTACAATTCATGCTTATATAATGTATTCTTATAGTGTTCACAGTACATTATAATATACTTAGCAAACATCAAATAATAGTTATATAATTTTTACTTAGTGTTTGTTGGATAATTTACTGATAGACATTGAAACAATGCATCAACATTCGATATGCGATAAATATTGATGTAATGTAGTGAACCAGTGATAATTACTTTTAGATTTTTAACAAAATGTTATAATGATTAATCCAAACAAAAAAAAATTAAAAAATCCAAGAAAATCCAAATTAAAGAAATCGAAATATTAAATTTTAAAAGAAACTTTTAAAAAATACTACTTCTGTAAGGGAAGGTGACTTCAAATGACGCCGTAATAACGTTTTAATGATGTCTATAATGTCAAAAAAATTGATATGTCAATTGATGTCACCATTCTATTTAGAATATGATATATTAGAATATGATATATTGCTATGATTTAACTATAATATTGCAAATATATAAGTGTAATATTTCAATGATATAAATGTGTAATATTTCAATGATATAAGTATGTAATACTGCAGTAATATTTCTGTAATATTTTAATGACATATATAAAGGTGCAATATTTCAGTAATATTTCTATAATATTTCACTGTGATATGTAATATTACCACTATATTGCAATATCACTGCAATATTTTTGCAATATTACGTGCTGTGTGGGCATATATTATGTTAACAGTTATATTCTATAATTGCTGAAATCTTTTTATACACTAATATTACATTTGATGATTTTACATGTATATGTTAAAATGTTTTAACGTGTAAGTGTAGATTCAGAAACATACCTAGTTGTTTTACTTTGTGACAAATGCGCACATCATTCCAAAACTTATAAAATTCGTTTCTCGGAAATTAAGAGTTTAGATTAATATCCAACTGAAATTAATCACTAAGAAAGAAATATATATAATAGGGCGTGTTTTTCTCAATCTTGTAGAACTTGATCAAGTTTTATATTTAGCAATTCACTATCACCGTCGCAAAAAACCCTTGACTATTGATAATAGCATTAACACGACACTGATGAACGAGCTATGCGTTCTAAATTAAATACTTTACATACACTTCTATTTATGCTTTCGAGATTGCATATTTTGTTATTCAAGGATAACAACATTCAATCAAGCATTGAAGGTAATCATGATTTTCTAGTTTAAGAAATTTATTACTGCGCGTAGAAACTAACACATTTATTGTATGATTAGATGTATTTTTGCAAAATATATGTTACTGTCATATGGAAATTGTCGTTATTATGTTACGTAACATTATTAATTATTAAGAAAATTTTAAACATAATTATGCATAATTATGGGCATAATTTTTATACTTGCTGTTGCGGAAAAATATCGCAGTTCGTTTAAAATTTTCCTAATAATTAGTAATGTTACGTAACATAATAACGACAGTTGCAAAAATACATCTACGAATGTATTAGTTTCTACGCGCAGTAATAAATCTCTTAAACTAGAGAATCATGATTGTCTAATGCCTGATTAAATGTCCTTTTATAAACATATCCCAGAAAAAAATGAAGTGATTGCATTAGATATATGTAGATCACATTAGATCAAATTGGATCTGATAAGATTTACTGTTAGATATAAATATATCTTCAAAAATCTACCTTTTTACTTGCATGAGAAATGTTATATCCACTGAGATCTTTGTAAGTTATCAATGATCTATACAAGATGATATATATAATTTATATAGATCATTGATAATCTACTAGGATCTTAATGGAAATAACATTTCTCGTGCAAGTAAAAAGGTAGATCTTCGAAGATCTGTTTATATCTAACAGATATAAGATATCTGTTATATTTAACAGAAATCTTATCAGATCCAATTCGCTCTAATAGGATCTACATATATCCAATGCAATCACTTTGTTTTTCCTGAGGGATCTACTAGGATCTTAGTGGATATAACATTTCTCATGCAAAATAAAAAGTATATCTTCAAAGATCTACTTATAGCTAACAATAAATCATATCAGATCCAATTTGCTCTAATGTGATCTACATATATCTAATGCAATCACTTCATTTTTTTCCCGGATAATTAAGTATAGTACAGTAAGGGTCTTTCCTTTATAGAAAAGTATCACTGGCTGTGATAAATTGGCTAGTAATAAATAGTAATTTTATTACTCGTACGAGTAATAAAATTATTGAACGACAGTAATTATCACTGGCCAAATTATTACTTATCAGTATTACATTTCTATAAGGGTTGTACGTAGAAAAATTTTAACCATAACCGTAAGGTCGTAAAAAAACTGACCAATCAGAGTTAATTATTCTCCATGCGTTCGAGGAATAATCGACTGTAATTGGTCAGTTTTCTTACGACCATACGGTTACGGTTAAAAATTTTCTACGTGCAAAAGCCCTAACTCAGTAATTTTTTGGCTACTTAATTTTTGGTAAATACTAATAATAAAATCACTGTTAAATATTCCCATACAGCACATCAACCAGCAAAATAATATTGAAAAAACATTTTTCAAAATATTTAAAAAACATTTACAAAACATTTTTAAAAAAGTTAAAAACAATGGGTTAAGCTCACTCTTTTACATTAAAAAAAAGTTTTTTCAAATATTTTGGAAAAAACGTTTTTAAAATATTTAATAAACTTAACTATAAATTTTTTTAATATTTATTAAACGTTTACATGAACATTTATAAATATTATAAAAATATAAATATTCTTCTCTTTTCTTGAATTTTTCTTAAATTTTCCACTTTATTGTTTTGCACGCTACTTAATTCAATTTAAATCGAAAATTTGCTTACCATGCTGGGACACGAGAATCTGAGACCTTCGCTTCTTGAGTCGTTCACCTTACCCACTGCGCCACTGTCACTTTCACCGGAAGATACTTTATATTGTATACATATGGTATATCCATTTTTTATATTGTATACATATGGTATATCCACAAAAATAAATGATTTATTAAAAAAAAAAGAATAGATTTTTTTAAATGTAAAAAGTATATTTGAAAAGTACATAAAAAGTATAAAAAATATTTACTTGTTTTAAACGTAAGTAAAATACAAAAAAATCACTTTGTAAATTTAAATAAATTGTTTTCTGATAATAAAAACTTTAATTTAAAACACAAAAAAGATACTTTTAATATCAAAAAATAATTTATTTAGATTTATAAAATGATTTACTTATATTTCATTACTTTTAAATTTACTTGTATTTCATTTACTTTTAAAACAAGCTAATATTTATTTAAATACAGTTTTTACATATTTCAAAAGCTAATTTTTTTCTTGTAAGAAAATTATTTGCTTATTCTTTTATATAGATATTTTAAAAAAGTCAAAGAAATCTTTTTTTATCTAGAAATTTATAAATTTACAGCTCATCTTATAAATAAAAAATATTAATTTATATTTATTACATGTTTTCTAAAATGTAACAAATATTTTTTTAAGTTAAGAAATTATATTTAACAAAATATATTTCTTTAATTTAAAGAATTTTTTCAGAGTATCTTACCAATTTAAAAATTTCGATTTTCTTATTCTTTCAGTAATTTAATAGTTATAAATAATTACATTTATTTTTTTATGTATAATATTTGTAAATAGAAATATTTACAAGATATTACTACAAATACTCATTTTTTGTTTACTATAAATATTGTATAAAATATTTAGTTTATATTTTAATAATATTTTAAATAAAGATTTTGGTACTTTTTCCTTTTATATATTTAAAATATTTATAAAATCTTACTATAAATATTTATTTTTTGTTTACCATAGATATTGTACAAAATATTTAGTCTATATTTTAAGAAAAGGTTACGTTACAGGCTATACTGGTTATAACAATAAAGCAAGTATAGAAGTAAATTATCGCCGACTTAGAGCCGTAGCAGTGAAGTACATATCAAGGATGCCACTTTTAGCTTATGTAAAGCAACCAGCAGCGTGGAGGGGATACGCACACAAGCAAGCCGGCGACAAGCTTCGGGGGTCAAAGAATCAAGCGTATACTTACACTGTCGCTCGCTTGCAATAAGGCCCAGTTGCACCAACGTTATTTTGGTTTTAAGTAACACTTAAATATATGTCTATCTTTATTTATATAGAAAAAAAGATAAAGATAGATATATGTTTATTTTCGCTTAAAGCCAAAATAATGTTGGTGTAACCAGGCCTAGGTAAGCTAAAAGTGGCATCCTTGGCACATATGGCTAAGCGAGCCACTACACAGACTAGCTGTAGCTTGAATTTCTTCACCAAAATTGTACAATTGTACAATTGTACAATAAATTTTTGAATACATATATTTTCAAAAAATGAAAAAATGAAAAATCGATTTTTTCGAAATTTCAGTAGAATGATCCCTTAAGCATAGTTCTCTCTTGAGTGCGGATGAGAGCAGTTTCTACCAAGGGGTTGCAGCCAGTGTTGCCAGGTTTACCGTTTTAGCGGTAGATCTACCGTTTTGACTAGATTATCTACCGTTTTTTTTATTTTACTTATATATTTTATCGATTATTCGTGTATGAATTAGAAATTGAAAATTTTTATCGTGAAGAATACATTAAAGACTGACAACCACGACTACAAGTAAGAAAATTACATTTGAAACAGCATATTATTTCCGATATTCTAATTTAGTGCTGCCAGACTACCGTGAGCGGTGTTATCGTGTTTCCTACTAGGGTTGCATTCCAAAGCCTCCTTTTCGAGGAAAATTTTACTCTTAAGTCTATAGTGTATATGTAACATGAACTATAGATTTTAGAGTAAAATTTTTTCGAAAAAGATGTTTTGGAATGCAATCTATAGAGTCCCTAGGAACTCTACGTTCTCACCCCGCATTAGCTTTCGTATTACTTATTATAATTATTATTTTTTCTGTTAACCAGTTTTATACAAAATTTGTGATATTCAGTGAGACTAAATAAAGATTATAGAAAAAACTACGAGTGCACTTTTCATTATAAGTAATTTCTCTTTTATTTGCTATTGAATTGTTTTAGGTATTCGTATTATTTATAATTAGAATATTTTTTTATTAACTATCAGTTTTATGTCTTATATTTTACGAAACTTCTGAAATAAAAGATCTACCGCTTTAAATTTCAAATCTACTGCTTTTTAGTATACCATCTACCGCCTAATTTTTCTACCACCTGGTAACACTAGTTGCAGCTTAAAAATCAAAATATACATATCTCGTGAGCTTATAAATGGAGAAAATATTTTCTGGCGATAAATAACCCATTCATCGTTTTTTGAGTATAGTTCTCTCTTGAGTGCGGGCGATAAAAAGTAGTGTTCCTACCAAGGAGTTGCAGCTCAAAAACCAAAATATACATATCTTGGAAGCTCATAAATAAAGAAAATATTTTCTGGCGAGAAATAACCCATTTATCGGTTTTTAAGTATAGTTCTCTCTTGAGTGCGAGCGATAGAAAGTGATGTTCCTTTTAAGGAGTTGCAGTTCAAAAATCAAAATCTACATATCTTGGAAGCTCATAAATGGAGAAAATATCTTTTGGCGAGCAGTAATCGGTTTTTAAGTATAGTTCTCTCGGACTGTAAAGGGTCGTTTTCTTGCCAAGGGGTTACAGTTCAAGAATCATAGATTATATATCTTGTGAGCATATTAATCGGATAATAATATTAATGAAAGTAATACTTGAGTTCTTTTTTTTATGAGTTATCTCTTGAACGTAAACTGTTTAAAGGTTGTTACGAGAGTAGAGGATGGAGCTCAAAAACTATGCTAGTTTGAGAGCTCCTAATTAGCTCATAATTCTGCTTTTATCCCGATTATGTTCATGCAATTTTAAGAAGTGGAGGGGGCTGAGTAAACGTTTACTTAGGCCCTCACCTACAAATAAAAATTAGTACTCAGGAAAATGAGCTCAAAATTTTCGATTAGCGGGGATCGAAAGCTCATAAATAGCTCCTAATTCTGAGCTATTCATTTTTTAGTTTTCACGTAGTGGGAGGGGGCAGCTGAATGAAAGTTTGCGCTCATCCGTCGTGAATGTAACCATCGCGTAACACTTGCTTCGTTTAGCTTTCTTCAATAGGAACCAAGTTGGACAAAAATGGAATACCTGTAGACCATAGAAAGATAATAGTTGTTCTTCAAGTATTATGTTTAAATATCTCATAAGAAAATGCAATCTATTGTATATAAGTCATGGTATATAATACCATGCCGCTTGATATCCAAAGATTTCATAATTTACCCAAACATTTCTCTGATTAACTCGAATATTTTTATGTCAAGTTATTTATTCTTATTATCATTTCTTCTTATTTATTCTTCAAGACATTCTGTAAAGAATGATTTTATTTTATATAAAAAAAAATACAAGTGTTATAAAAAAAAAATATTTAGTAATTTAAAGAATAATATTGAAGATTTTTCTTTCTCACAAAATCAATTCGCATGTTTCATATAGTTAATCTATAATAATTTAAAGATACCAATAAAGTCAATATTATATTGATATAAACAAACTTCCAAAAGTATAAAAAACTAATATAAATTAATCAACTCTTCCTACTTTTTACCGACAAGCTTCTGTAAAATTCTTCGTTTGTAAAATTCTTCGTTTTTTATATCTTCGGGCTTATTAACTTAGGATGGCAAGAGATTGCATGTGTTTAGATTTATTAACAGGTGTAGCAAAATTGAGTCTAACCAATATCGTATCACTTTATTATTTGTCATGAAAAAAAGGAAAACATGTAGAATACATAAAGAACATAAATCAATAAAATAATCGAAGCTTAAATTAATTTCCAAAGCGCAAACAATGTACAGAAGTGTATCCGTAAATAATCATTTGAACTAAAATAAAAATATACTGTGTTTTCGAGAAGCTTTTGAATTAGCTTATACGATCCTTTTTCTATCATTACGAAGGGGACGGAGGGTCATAAGAGATAAGTAAACAAAAATGCATAATTATTAAAAGGATATAAGGAGTTGATTATTGTACACAAACGCCTAATAATAATAGTTATTTACCTTTTAAAATATTAAACCATGTTTACTACATTTCTTGAAGCACGTTTCCAGTATAGAAGGGAATCACAGATTTCTAAGCTACACTTTCCACTCTTTCCGTCTACGAAAGAATACAATCGACAAATCGTTTAGAAAATATTACTCTAATCTCATTGATATATATATTGATATATAGTAGCTTGTGTCGGTAAAATGTATGTAAAATGTGTTATACTTTACACAGTTTACTAAATAATTTACTTAATCAGTACTGATGGCTGAGGTTAAAAATATTGTAAAATCAATTATTCCAAAGTCAATAATTATTGATCAAATGAGACATTATTTTTCGACGAGCAAATTCCATTATAATCGTCGACTGTACGCTTTAATTAGCGGGCGCACTTACCTCGGTAAGTCGTGTGGAACATAAAAATACTATCAACTTTGTGCAACTCTATCGTTTTTCCTCTTTCGCGACGAACACAGTTCGACGAGTAGAAGTGACGAATTCTTGGATTTTCACCAAATTTCAGAATTTAGGAAAACCTGAAGGGAAATTACTTGAACGTCGTAGCCTGCTATAATAATCTATTTCTGTTCGTGAGAATTCGGTGCGATTGCCGCTTGCAGCCGGTTGCAACATTGACAAGAATATATGCAACTATTTCTTATCGCCAAGACTGCAACAATTTTAAATATCTGATCGTAGTGTGCGTTAGTAACGCGCTTTTAAGGTCCACTTCTTCTTAATTTTAAGATCCCGGGCGGACTCAATGATTCGGTCCGTCCGACGCGAATGCCGTTGTTGGCTGCATCATTTAGCACGCACAATCGCAGGCGCAACGACGTACGCGTTTCTCGCGACGATGAAGGAAGACCTCGTCAGGTGCGGAGCGTACAGAACGTGGTTGTACAACTACAAAAAGAAAATAATCTTAAATATTTAATCTCTTCACAATCTAAACAACTATATCGTATATAGCAGGGAAAAAAAATATCTGAAGAATAAAAAATAAAAATTCGGTGGGCACTAAAATACCATATATTTACTTAAATTTAAATTATTTGATTTAAATAAAATAAACAATTGCTTTCATGAAAATCTAAGATTTTAAAAAATGTATAAGCTGAATATCCAATTTAATGACCAAGTAACCTCATCTTGAAAATAAATTAATTAATTAATAATATACATATTAAAAAAAAACTAAATACACATATATACACATAACGGATTTTCTTGAAAAGCTTTTTAGGGTTGTAAATGTGTTTTTTAATGCATGGAGGGATTTTAATTTATTTATAATACTTTTTTTTTAAAAGTGTAACTAATGTGTGATACATCAGGTTAGTTTTGGCCTAATTTGTGGTATTATTTAACGGGAGAATTACATATTATATAAGCATTATTTAATATTATTCGAATATGGTTATAGAATTATGAACATATTACTAACTTATTACTAACTTTAACATAACAATTTATGGGCTAATGACATATTTAATAAACTCTGAAGGGTCAAGTTACGACATTAATGGTATTTCTGAACTCTATAATAAATGAGATTTACAAACATATTCTTTTTAGAAATAGAAACGTTTATATATCATAATAATATATGTTTATATTATTTTATGTCATATTTATGCAGATTTTCACTAATAGAAATAAATAAATAATAGTAGTATTAATAATAGTACCTATTAATGACATGTATAAATTAATAAATAATAGTACCTATTAATGATATGTATAAATTAACTATGAAAATTACATATCTTATTATTTCCTTTGCTTACAAAATATTCTTTAAACCTTCTCTCAACTTTGATATAATCATTTCAATCACTTGAAATTACAGAATAACTAATAGATATATGATGGTGTGGTCTGTTCTTTTCAGCTGCACTACTGAACTGGTGCAATAAGTTAGAGTGAGAAAAAATATAGTTGTCTTATTCCAACTTATTGTATCAGTTCAGCAATGCAGCTAAAAAGAACAGACTAGTGAATGATCAATTTCTGTTGACAGCAACTGTTTAAACTGTCGCCATCAACAATATATTTGTAAAATTCTATTGTTCCAGGATTTATTATAATTTTTAATTTTATTCGAAAGGACCCCGCACAAAACCTATGGAAAATGGTTTTCGGTCAAATTGGTTGAAATTTCACTATGTTATAGTTTTCGCCATGCTGATAAAAAGTTATCATTGCACCAAGTCCCAAAAGTCAATATTTCCCAAGATATAAAGGGTCAAAGTAGTGAAATATGGTCATCCGCAGTAGTAAGACGTATGTTATAAGTATAAGTGATACATTGATATTTATTCACGAAATAAATAAAAATCGATTTTTACATATATATATGTAATAAATATTTAGTTCCGCAATATATATGTATATGTATATACAGGGTGGGGCAAAAGTATCGGACCGGTGAAATATCTCGAAAAATATAAGTTTTACAAAAAACTGTTTCAGATCTTAAAAAGATCTATTGTATTTACTGATTTTAGCAGATTGATCTTGGGTGACGTTGCCAAGGTCAAAAATCAGTTGTTTTCACGACTACTCACAATCAGTTGTTTTCACGGCTGCTCACAATCAGTTGTTTTCACGGCTACTCACAATCAGTTGTTTTCACAGCTACTCAAAATCAGTTGTTTTCACAGCTACTCAAAATCAGTTGTTTTCACAGTTACTCACAATCAGTTGTTTTCACGGCTACTCACAATCAGTTGTTTTCACAGCTACTCAAAAACTACGTGAAAACAACTGATTGTGAGTAGCCGTGAAAACAACTGATTTTTTACCTTGGCAACGCCACCCAAGATCAATCTGCTAAAATCAGTAAATACAATAGATCTTTTTAAGATCTGAAATAGTTTTTTATAAAACTTATATTTTTCGAGATATTTCACCGGTCCGATACTTTTGCCCCACCCTGTATATACATATACATATATATTATACTTATAACATACGTCTTACTACTGCGGATGACCATATTTCACTACTTTGACCCTTTATATTTTGGGAAATATTGACTTTTGGGACTTGGTGCAATGATAACTTTTTATCAGCATGGCGAAAACTATAACATAGTGAAATTTCAGCCAATTTGACCGAAAACCATTTTCCATAGGTTTTGTGCGGGATCCTTTATTATAATTGTGATACTACGTCTTAAGAAAAATATGCAATATATGATAATATACAGAATGTCCCAAACTCTCCTCCGCATATTTTTTGGAAATATAGAATGGATTGAGGTGAACAAAAAAGTCCTACACCGTTTTGCGATATTCGCAATAATAACCGAGAAATTAATTGTAAAATATTAAGGAAAAACGTACGCTGAATGGCTGAGCGCAGTGATAAAAACTTTTACTCCAGAGCAGTGCTGGCAGTTCGCGATATTTTCTATATAGACAGAAGCCCTTGTGCGCATGCGTGAAGTGACGTAGCAGCTCGACGTAAGCAGTTTCCAATGACGGCGTTAGGCACTAATAGGGGGTTCTTAAGGGACATGCAGAAAATACTCGGCCGTCTGTCTGTGTTGTTTGCCTGGGAGTGGTTAGATTAGATAGGTAGTGAAATGACATAATAATAAATTAGTATAATTAATATAGTTATAACAATTAGTATAGCTGTGTAAAATGTGATAATAAGTATATATAGTATATATTAATAAATAAAATGTGATAAAAAGTGCAATTTTAATATAAAGTGATATTGTGATATAAAGTGATATAAAGTAAAAAATATATTTATTTTTACTTATGAATAGCATTCTGTTTCTTTCCACAAACTTTTTTTCTTCCTACAATCCTTTCATATTTTCCTTTAGGTGAAGGATCTTATGATACCTTAAAATAGATACGGCGCTGAGGTTACCACAGAGTTTGCTCAATGCGCGTGCGCGAAAATATATCGCGAACTGCCAGCACTGCTCCCGAGCAGCACGCATCAGCACGGGAGGGGATACGCACATACTCACCGTGAGACTCACGGGCACTGTCGCGTGAGTGCGTACGAATCCCCTTTCTTGCTGATGCGTGCTGCTCGGGAATCAAAGTTTATTAGAAGTTTAAACAACAATATTTCTTATAAACATTTTTAAATGTGTTATTTTACAAATAAAATATTTTTTATAGAATTAACTAGTTTTTGTAATAATTCTACTCGTGTGGGCAAGCGCGTGAACTTGACGTCTTTTTTCACCATTTTTTAAAAAAGACTACTAGGTCGCGAGCGCTTCTCCTTTAACCATTCAGCGTGCGTTTTTTCTTAATCTTTTACAATTAATTTTTTGGTTATTATTGCGAATATCGCAAAGCGGCATAGGACTTTTATGTTCACCTCAACCCGTTTTATATTCTTACAAAATATGCGGAGGAGAGTCTAAAACACCCTGTATAAAATTTAGAGTAAGAACACAAGTTTAGAATAAATATAGATTCATATTATCTGATTTATTAAGAGAAAAACGAATGCAACTGTCACTAATTGAAACACTGTTACTAATTGGGATATTTACTTTATTTTCTTATTTAAAAAATTTTTATTAGTATTATTAAATATGTTATATTAGTATCCACCGCGAATAAATATCTTTTATTTCTTGAATATATTTTCTTTCTTATTATATATATTTTATCTCTTGGTTATATTAAAAATAAAATCTTGAAAAAAAAATTGAAATAAATAAAGTCTTATTTACAGTGAGGACGGGCTTCCTGCATGGATTGATGCTGCTGTTGTTGTTGTTGCTGCTGCTGTTGCTGAATCATCATATGTGTTGGCTGGTGCTGGTCGGCTTGTTGCTGTTGCTCGGATTGTTGCTCCATGGACTGGCCATCAGTAACTTCAGCACGCGCTTCTACTGGTACCTCTAAAGACTCGACTGGTCTCAGCGCAAATCTTGGAACTGGAAAAGCACGACCCTCCACAACCTAAAATTGTAAAAATAACTTTCATCAGTATATATATTTCATTCAGTTTATTGTACGGTAGTTTTTTCTCCACATTGTCGCTAATTGTTCTGTTACATGACACAAATCTTTATTGAAAGAAGCCACATGAGGTCATCTAATAGCACTATATAAAAAGACAGGCAGTTGAAATTTGAATACATACTTTTGGAGAAATTGATGTGTTTTAATCTTTTATGGTCTTCTCAATTGACTTGTAGATAAAAAATCACGGCCGTAATATATTTACGGACAAACGCAACATGTTTACAATATTATATTTTTGTTGAATATGTTATTAATAATTAAAATTGATTAGTTATAGTTTCTAAAAGGTCCACATTCGAGTTCTCATGAAATTCTATGAAATAGCTCGAGATACTTTTAAATAAATATATCTAAAATATAAAATTGTTTTTTCTTAGCGCAATTAAAATATTTATTTGAATTGTAATGTTAAAAAAGCAAATATATTTATTTCCAAAAGTTCTTACATGCCACGAATAAAGGATGATTTCATCTATAAGATATATTGCAGAAAGAGTAACGCTCTCTGTATAACGTACATTTTTAATTACATGAGAATTATTATACATTTTATATAATTTGTTATGTATTTGTTATCTATTTCTATAAATATACATTTGCGAATGCTGTTGAGAACAGATTAATTATATCAAATATACAAACGTATATTTAAGCTCAACGTGTTTATTTCTTTATTCTTTATAACAATGGTATAAATGACTTATACCTCTTATACATAAACGTATATATTTATCCTTCAGAGTCTTGTTTAAAAAATCCGATAAGGAGATTGATAGAAATATATACCAATTTTATTTAAATATTATATGACTTTATCTGAACTTATTTCTGTCGGAAAATTTAATTTTTGTTATTTTAGCTTATATAAAAAAGTTATCAATTTCTTTCATTTTATATCGTAACTTATTTTTAGCAATTGAATATGATACTAAATTTATTTATTTGATTAAATGTTTACCTGAATACATAATGTCTTTCTATATAATGACTTTTTATATAATGTTATAATTTTTTATTAATATTACGATTTAATTACATATATTTTCTTATGTAATTCTATCAAATCTCTTTTAAGCGGAGGAGTTGTTACTTAAATATATATCTTTTACTTTTCTAAATTAATAAATTTACTAAATTAATTAAGTCTACCAATATTTAAAAATTAATATTTTACAAGATTAACAAAAACTCCTATGTAATATTAACAAAGGTGGTAAACACTACCTATTTTACACAAATACGTATGAAAAGATTAAAATAAGTTCAAATAATATATTTCACAAATCAAGAGAAATTATCAGTATTATGTGGGATATGTATAAAAAACTTCGCCCCTCTCCGCAAAAAGCTAACCTACCTTATTATATATAACTACTATTAATACAACTATTATTTTAACGTTATCTCAATTAATTTTTAGTTACGTCAAAAAACGCTTTAGATATGTTTATTTTGGAATATATAAGACCAAATTTCACGAAAATCAAAGGGTAGACCTTTTTCAGAACTATATCAGTTGATTTATAGAATCGGTTAGAACAAAATATGATATCGAGGTAGACTCGACATAAGACTACGAAAAGTTAATTATCTTTACATCGCTCGGTCACGCTGTTGCAATATGCACATCAGGATACGATTCAACGATCTTCATGCATATTTTCATGCAATAATGTGTTTTAGTTGTGAAGTTTTCAAAAATAAAATTTGTCTCAAAAAACTGGCAGCGGTGGGATTCGAACCCATGCCTCCAAAAAGACTGGTGCCCAGTGCTGCAGAAATGTGGCCATGCACGCTGCAACGTTCGAGGAAAAATACCCCCTCCATGTGCCATCTCTTAACGCACACAACGCTGCTGCTCCGTCTATCGGTGTGAAGCCGTGTCGCTCATGTCACCGAACGAAAAAGAGAATAGTCTTCGCTCCTTCTCGCTCCTTCTCGCCTCACTGTGTTTACACGCGTCCGAAGATATTTTAACTTTCTCGGCGTAGATCTGAGTCGTGAACACGACTATGATATATCGTCGTTGCCGAAAAAAGATCCCCTATGTAATGTTTCTTATCAAATCAAGATGTTTATATCAATATACATTCAAAATTTTATTCTATATATAATAACACAAGTATCTCCAGACAACACAATGCAACATAATGTCTAAAATTGGAAATAAGACGTCTTAAAAATAATCTTTAAGACGCCTTAAAGAGATACGTAAATTGTCTGAGAGACACTTTAAAGATGACCTTTAAGACGTTTTATGTTCCGATTTTAGACATTATGTTGTCTGGGTCTTAAAGTCACAAAACATATACATAGACTCTTTTACGGCAGCGACGATTTGTGACAAAATATGAAATAAATATAAACATTTAATGCAACGTGCCAGTAGGTCGCCCGGAGTAAAAGTAACGTATTGGTAATTTCCTGACGAGCATTCTATGTCTTAATAGGATACCTTTAAGCCATTCGTTTATTGTTATATTGATAGAATGAATGCAGAACTATTTTTTCTTTTTGAAGGAACTGTAGCACTATGAAAGCAAAGGTGCTAAAATAACTTTATTCAACTTATTATACTTTATAGTGTAAATGTTTATCAAACGTTATAGACAAAACAGTTTGCTTTATCGATATTGTTGGAGACTGCTTAATTCGTTCTTGATGCGGGTCCAAGTTGTGAACTTCATTGATTATCATCAATGCGACTATGATCAATATATTGACCATAGATTGATGTGGTCCGCTATTGTAATGCAGAAAAAATCTGAGAAAATGATGTAAATATGAAAAACATGTATCCGTATATTTATGTATAATGCACGTCTAACTCGAAACGCTATAGTCCGTATTTATTAAATTGACCGCAACTCCGCACGTGAAACATACAGAATTATAAGTAGAAACATATGCTTCTATTCATCCGCAATGTGTATTTATACAATTTACAATATACATTTACAATATACACCAGACTCTATTAAGGGGACTGGAAGGTCAGATTGCACGATTTAAAAATCATGCTTGTTTTTTCACAATTTTTTATGACAAACTGAATGAATATGCGAAAATGTTATTTTGACGTGTATTTATATAACATATAAAGAGAAAAAAAATATAATTTTGATGATCAAATACTCAATATAAGTGTATGGTACATGTAGTTAAAATATATTTCGTTTTTCTTTTCAAGGTCGTCATTTTGCAATAATATCTTAACTTTCGGTGGTTTAATGAAGCTGAATTTTAGAATTTTTGAAGGTAGAATATTTCCGTAATTGTCGTTATCATGTGAATCACTATAATAAAAATTTAGTAAAAGTTAACAAAATTGCAAATATCTTAATAGAATATTATTAAATTTTCAGTTCTTTTATAGTAGAAAAATTAATATTTTAATATTAAATATTTCACAAGTTTGTCAGTGGTTCACATGGTAACAACAAGTTTACAGAAATTTTCCATCTAAAATTCAGCTTAATTGAACCACCGAGAGTCAAAATATTATTGCATAAATATATGGATATATATTTATGATTTTTATATTTACATCTTTTTCAGATTTTTTCTGCATTACAATAGCGGACCACATTAATCTATGATCAATATACTAATCATAGTCGCATTAATGATAATCGTTTCCGCGACTTGGATTCGAACCAAGAACGAATTAAGCAGTCTCCAACTGTATCGATAAAGCGAACTGTTTTGTCTACATCGTTTGATAAACATTTACATGTTGAATAACCCAGACAAAATAATGTCAAAAATCGGAATATAAGATGTCTTAAAGATAATCTTTGAGATGCCTTAAAGACATTTATACGTAAATCGTCTAAAAGATGTCTTAAAGATGATCTCTAAGACATCTTATGTCCTGATTTTAAACATTATGTTGTCTGGGAAGTTATCTTAGCACCTTTACTTTCATAGTGCTACAATTGCTTCAAAAGATAAAAACAGTTCCGTATTTATTCTATCAATATAACGATAAGCAAATGGCTTAAAGGTATCCTATTAAGACGTAGAATGCTCGTCAGGAAATTGCTAGTACGTTACTTTTACTCCGGGCGACGTACTGACACGTTGCATTAAATGTTCGCCTTATATTTATTTCATATTTTGTCACAAATTGTCGCTGCCGTAAAAAAGTTTATGTGTATGTTTTATAACTTTATCACTTTGAGATACTTGTGTCATTATATGTAGAATAAAATTCTGAATGTATATTGATATAAACATCTTGACTTGATAATAAACTTTATATAGGGAATCTTTTCTCGGCAGCAATGATATATCATACTCGCGTTCACGACTCAGATCCACGCCGAGAAAGCTAAAACATCCTCGGATGCGCGTAAACGCAGTGAGTTGGAGCGAGAAGAAGCGAGAAAAAGCGAAGACCAGTCTCTTTCTCACTCAGTGACATAAGCGACGCGGCTTCACACCGATAGACGTAACAGCAGCGTTGTGTGCGTGTATTAAAAATACATCTAACAAATTGCACATAATTCTTTTAGCTTATTTTTTACATTTTAAAAACAAAACTTATTAAAATTGCATTAATATATATATATATATATATATATATATATATATATATATATATATATATATAT